GAAGATGTTCTTAAAGGGTCCCAGATCACGTATGTTACAGGTGTGGAAGGGGACGATGTTGTGTCTACACAAGTAGCCACGGTAACCCAGTCTGGGCTGAGTCAGCAAGTTACACTCATATCCCAGGATGGGACTCAGCATGTGAGTATCCACCAAAAGCCAAACAAGTTAAATAATATTTCTCTGACTATGGACATGGAAGGCAGGTTGGGCCCCAACTGCGGAAAGCCTCGAATATCAGCTCACAGGCAGTGCTAGAGCTGAAGGTTTTCCAGTAGGCTGCTGAAAGAGACCGCGTGCCAGGGACATTAGAGGAGAGGGGATGCTTGTGACTCCAGCACTCGCGTGGTGTTACTGGTGTAGTTCAAAGGCGAGGTGATAAAGGTCAGTACCACCGTGAAATTGAGGGCTTGAAAAGTAGAGGATCCATGAGAAAACATAAATCAGAGAAGCTAGGATTTAGTAGCTGATTAGATCCAGGAGGTGAGAGTGAGACACCGGCAGAGCCTTGGCTAAGGGGACGATGGCATGATGACATCATTAGAAAACCGTGGGAGGGGCGCCCGGCTGGCTCAGTCAGTGGAGCGTACGGCTCTTGATCTTGGTCTTCAAGCCCCACATTGAGTGTAGAGATGACTTAAAAAAAAAAAAAAGATCCTGGGAAGTCAGCAATGGGCAAAACTGTAAAATTTCCAGAGTGCAGCTCTCTCCCTACCTGGAGTTAATGGGAGTTCACTTAACTTACCTCCCAGAATTAATAGACCAAGTCTCTTGATTTCCCCAGGAAAAGCAAGTAATGGTTATTCTCCAAACCATTGCTTTGTAGGTGCCACTAGCCTAAAATAATCCAGACTTGATTTCATTTTTAAGCTCCAAGTAAGGTTGTCTCTACCTGGTAGAAATAGGCATATGGGGCTCTTTATCCTCCTCTAACTGTCTCTTCCACGGAGAACCCTCTCCTTCCCTGTTTCTCCCAGAGCTTCCCTCCCATGATGAATCCTCCCCTTGTGTTGATAACGGTTACTCTGCTGATGTTAATTAGGAGACAGAACACTTTCGGGATTGGGATTGGCAATTTCGAGGTGCTTGTACCATCCTGTTCCTTCCCTTCCCCCTCACAGCACTACTTCCTCACAGTATTCTTTGTCCACTGATTGTCATGCAAGATTAAACACATTTACTAATGCAGTTTTAATTTAGCATCAAGCCTAAGACGTTTTCTTGAATTAGATCAACAGAGACCCTCTTGGGGCGCCTGGGTGGCTCAGATGGTTGGGCGTCTGCCTTCGGCTCAGGTTATGATCCCAGGGTCCTGGGATCGAGTCCCGCATCGGGCTCCCTGCTCGGCGGGGAGCCTGCTTCTCCCTCTGCCTCTGCCTCTGCCTCTCTCTCTGACTCTCATGAATAAATAAATAAAATATTAAAAAAAACAAAAAACAGAGACCCTCTTGAAGTCATGCGATGTAACCTCCCTCCCTCCTGATACAGGAGAATTTCCCACCACAGCAGCCCCCAAACAGATAAGGCAGTTTCTTTCGTAAGAGGCAGCCTGTTCCTTTGTTGGATAATTCTGTTGTTTATCAGACTGGAACCTACTGCTATGTCAACCACTCCTGGCTCCTCTCTGACCAGATAAAATGAGCCTCATCCCCCTTCATGTGTTCCAGAACAGCTATTTCCCTTATCCTGATGTAGTTTCTCCAGATGTAACCTCCCTTTTTCCTTCAGGGATTAGATTTCTCTTCCATTCCTTTAGTCAATTAAATAGTAAAGAGTTATTGAATTCTACCCAATGCCAGATATTCTGGTAGGCTTAGTGTGGGGAGTACAGAAAGTGGGGGTGGGTATCATAGTCTAGTAGGAGGGAGATATTCCTAAATGAACAATAACTTCTTATAATGATGGGTATATAATTGAGGAATGTGTAAAGTGCAGTGTCAGCCTGGAGGAAGGAGTAAATGATTCTTCCTGAAGGAATCTTGGAAACCCTTATAGAGAGTGGCCATTTATTCATTTGAGAGAGAGCATGAGTGGGGGAGGGGCAGAAGGAGAGGGAGAAGCAGACTCCCTGCCGAACAGGGAGCCCAGTGTGGGACTGATCCCAGGACCCAGAGATCACAACCTGAGCTGAAGTCAGACACTTAACCGACTGAGCCAGCCAGGCGCCCCGAGTGGCCATTTAGTTGGATCTTGAAGAATTTTCATGAATTTGGTAGGCAGAGTGAAAGGAAGGGAAAAGTCACGAAGATGTAACAGAATATGACATTCTGGAACTGCGAACGATTAGTTGTGGCTGGGAGTGCCAGATGCTGGTTTAGAAGTAGTAGAAGGTGAGTCTGGAGAAGCTGTTAAAGCCAAATTGCGAAAGGTCACAAATGCCATGTAAGAAGTCTGAACTCTAGTGACGGGGGTCACTGGGGATGTAAGCAGGGAGCATAATGAAATTTGTTTTCTTAAAAAGGTGTCAAGGTAGGGCGCCTGGGTGGCTCAGTCGGTTAGGCATCTACCTTCGGCTCAGGTCGTGGTCACAGAGTCCTGGGATTAAGTCCCACATCAGTCTCCCTGCTCTGCGGGGAATCTGCTTCTCCCTCTGCCCTTCACCCTGCTTGTGCTCTCTCTTGCTCACTCTCTCTTAATAAATAAAATCTTAAAAAAAGTGTCAAGGTCGGGCGCCTGGGTGGCTCAGTTGGTTGAGCGACTGCCTTCGGCTCAGGTGATGATCCTGGAGTCCCGGGATCGAGTCCTGCATCAGGCTCCCTGCTCGGCAGGGAGTCTGCTTCTCCCTCTGACCCTCTTCCCTCTCGTGCTCTCTATCTCTCATTCTCTCTCTCTCTCAGATAAATAAATAAAATATTTAAAAAAAAGTGTCAAGGTAGAGGATGGTTTAGGTAAGGGTTGGATTGGATACCTAGAAAGAAGTTGTATTGCAGGAAGTCAGACGAGAGGAAAATAAGGGTCTAAATTGGCAGCAGAGATGGAGAGGAGGAAATGCGTTTAAGAAATTGTCAGTTTTGGGGTGCCTGTTGGGCTCAGTCAGTGGAACATGTGACTCTTGATCTTGGGGTTGTGCGTTCAAGCCCCACGTTAAATGTAGAGATTACTTAAAAAGTTAAAAAAAAAAAAGATTGCCAAATACAACAAGAAACAGACTGATTTGTAAAATGCATCGTATTGCAGGTCAACATATCTCAAGCTGACATGCAAGCCATTGGCAATACCATCACAATGGTAACGCAGGATGGCACACCCATCACAGTCCCGGCTCACGATGCAGTCATCTCCTCAGGAGGAACACACTCTGTCGCTATGGTTACGGCTGAGGGCACAGAAGGACAGCAGGTAATTGCTATTTTCTTTTTATATGAATCAGCACACATACCAATATCATAACTGTTACGTAGATATGCAATGTGATATGGTGGTGGTAAGCACAAAAACTTTGGATTGAATCCCAGCTTTATAGCATTAGCCACACAACCCTCTGGGTCTGTTTTTCCTCCTCTGTAAAATAGGAGTGATTGTTGCATCCACACCATAAGATTGATAAAAGGATTGAATGAGATAATGCATATAAAGTACTTAATATAAAGCCCAGGTATATATTCATTAATGGTAGCCCCTCCTATGATCATCATCAGATAGTTAGGAAAAGTTCATTTGCAAAATTTACTTTATTTAATATTTTGAATATGTAATATATTCACATAGTTCAGAAATCAAAAAGTATATACAGGTATGCAGTGAAAAGTCTTCCTCCTACCGCTGCCTCCAGCAACCGAGTTCTTGCCGCCCGCAGAGATAATCCATTGTTACTAGTTTCTTGCATAATCTTCCAGGAATTCGTGAAGCATATACAAACAAATACAAATAGTCATCTTCCCCCCTTCCTTTTTTTCTTATGGTAGTGAACAATACTGTTCTTCACTTTGTGTTTTTTTTAACTTAATTATACATCTAAAAAATATTTCTGTTTCATTATATAGAGAGCAACTATATGATATTTCACTGTATGAACACCATAATTAAAGATTTGTGCTGTTTCAAACAGCACGTAACCTTGTGGTCATGTGATTTTGCACGTGTGTGAGTCAGTCTGCTAGGCAAATCCTAGAGTGCATTCGTAATTGTGATAAGTAGCGCCAAGCTTCCCTTCTAGGGCCGTGCCCATCCACGTGACCATCAGGAGCATTGAGACCGCATCTTTCCCTTCTGTAGAGTCAACATAGTGGTATCAAACTTTTAAATTTTTGCTGATCTGATGTAGCTCTTTGTAGTTTTAATTTTTCATTTCCCTTAAAATACATGATATTAACACATTTTAACAATTGTTCTTGTGCTATGCTGAAAGCAGTGTTGAGATTCACTACAGCTACTTTACCGTGTTCAGTGAAAGAGTCTGTCAAAATTAGTAGCTCTCATTCTTCATAAATTCATTTATAAATTCCATACCATCACAATCAAAATTCCAGCAGGCTCTTTTGAAGATATTACATAATCTCATTTTAAAATTTACATGAAAATGAAAGGACCTATGATAAATAAAACGACCTTGAAAAAAGAACAAAGTTGAAAGTCTTTACACCTTGAAATACACAATTCAGAATCATAAAGCTTCTGGAAGAAAAGTGAATATTTTTGTAACCTTAGGGTAAAGATTTCTTAGGATAAAAAATGCACTACCAATAAAAGAACAAAAATGATAAATTGGACTTCATCAAAATTAATTCTGCTCACCAAAAGACACCATTAAGAAAAAGATTAGATAAGCCTCAGACTGGGAAAAATATATTCACACTATATATATCTGACACCGGATTTGTATTGAAAATATATAAGAAACTTCTACAAATCAACAAATAGCCCATTAAAAATGAGTAAAATAAATACAATTTTTTTTAAATGAGCAAATCATTTGCTCATTTGAACAGATCTCTCACAAAAGAAAATGCAAGAATGGCCAATAACATAAAAAAGTGCTCAAATCTGTAGTTATTAAAGAAATGCAAGTTAAAATCACAATGAGATACCACCATTTCAGACACAGGAAAATTACTAAAACAAAAGACTAACATCTGGTAAAGATATGAAGCAACTAGAACATTCGTACACACTCGTGGGAGTGTAAAATGATATAACCACTTTGAAGAACTGTTTGGTGGTTTCTTATACCCCATGACCAAGCAATTCCACTAGAATACGTATCGTATGATTTCACTTACATGGAATCCAAGAACAGACAAAACAAATCCATGGTGATAGAAATCAGAAAATGCTGCTTGACCGGGGGAAGGAAATTGATGGGATGGAACATGAAGGAACTGTTCTCTTATTTTGTTTTAGGTGGTGGTTCCACAGATGTATCTGTCAGAACTCAACAGAACACCTAAAGATTTGTGCATTTTTATTGTTTGTTAATTACACTCTATGCAAAAACAGAAACAAAAGCAAAACCCAACCACTAGCTTTCAGGCTGTCTTACAGAGTGGTCCCAGTCATTTCCGTGGCTGTAGGATCCCTGGATGGGTGCATGGCACAGCTTGGGTAAATACACCTTATGCCAGTTACAGTTGCAGGTCTGGAAGGATAGTGACCCTAAGGCAAACATTCTTTTGTAGTTTATCTGTAGCCTGGGGTATAGGAAAATTTTCAGGAGAGACAGTTTTGAGGGCTGGAATGAAGCCAGGCAGCTTCCAACAACCAGGGATATTACAACAGGAGTGGGGGTTTCATTTGAGGACCAGATGCCGCCATTGCTCCTTCTTCTGCAACTGTAGGCCATGGGGCAGATGTTGGCTATCCACTTGGGGTGTCCAGACACCACCTGTGAATTATCTGTAATGCTTAAATTGCCTAGTTCTTTACATGCATAAGAAGAAAGCAATTGGTCCTTCACTGGCCTTTTTATTCTTAAGGTAATTGGATTTCTTAGACTCGGTTTTTCAGGTGCCTCTGGAAGCCTAGTTAGCAGGTATATAAAGAAGAGTCTGTGCTCTCTATTTTAATTTGAGATTACAAAAGTAATGTATATTCCCAGTGTAATAGAATAGAAAGTCTAGAAACAGACCCTCACATATATAGTCAGTTAAATTTCAACAATTAAAATTTGACCATTCAGTGGGAAAGGATGGTCCTTTAAACAAATGGTGCTGGGAAAACTATATTCACATGAGAAGGAATGAAGCTGGACCTTTACCTTATACCATATATAAAAATTAACTCAGAATGTACTAAAGACCTAAATTTAAGAGCTAAAAACTATATAATGCTTAGAAGAAAATATAAATGAAAATCTTCACGACCCAGATTAGGGAATTATTTATGTATGATACCAAAAGCAGAGGCAATGAAAGAAATAAATAAATTAAACTTGTTCAAAATTAAAAACTTTGTTCACTAACTAGAATTTAAAAATTTGAAAAGGAAAAAAAAAACAAAATAAAATAAAAAATTAAATTAAAAACTTTGGGCATCAAAGGCCAGGACCAGGAGAGTGAAAAGACAATCTACATAATGAGAGGAAATACTTGCAAATTATATATGTGATAAGGGATGAATACTTAGATAAAAACTTCCTATAACTCAGCAACAAAAAAACCAAGCAACCCAATTTAAGCAAAAACAAAGGACTTGAATAGACATTTCTCCAACAAGATTTAGTGATGACGAGATAGCACGTGAAAAGATGTTCAACATCATTAGTCATCAGGGAGATACAAATCAAAACCACACTGACATACCACTTCACCCCCATTAGGTTAGGCTATTATCCAAAAGACAGACAGTAACAAGTGTTGCTGAGAATGCAGAAAAATTGGAACTCTGGTGCATTGCTCATTGGAATGGAAAATGGTGCAAGTACTGTGAAAAACAGTATAGCAGTTCCTCAAAAAGTTGAACATAGGGGCACCTGAATGGCTCATTTGATTAAGTGTCTGACTCTTGGTTTTGGTTCAGGCTGTAATCTCAGGGTTGTGAGATCGAGCCCCATGTCGGACTCTGGGCTGGGCGTAGAGTCTGCTTGGAATTCTCTCTCTCCCTCTGCCCTTCCCCCTGCTCGCACTTTCTCTCTCTCTCTCAAATAAATAAATAAAATCTTAAACAAAAAAAAGTTGAACATAGTGGGACGCCTGGCTGGCTCAGTTGGTAGAGTGTGTGACTCTTGATCTTGGGGTCATGAGTTCAAGCCCCATGTTGGGCATAGAGTCTACTTAAAAAAAGTTGAACATAGAATTACATATGATCCTATAATTCCGCTTGTAGCGATATATCCAAAAGAATTAAAAATAGAGACTCAAACTAAAAATCTGCTATAATCGGGGTGACTGACAGGTTCAGTCAGTGGAGTGTGGACTCTTAGTCTCAAGGTTGTGATTTCGAGCCGCACATTGGGTATAGAGATTACTTACAAATAACATCTTTTTAAAAACCTGCTATACTCTTTTGATGTTAAAATAACTAGTCTCGGGTATTAAAGAGGGCACATTCTGCATGGAGCACTGGGTGTTATGAACAAACAATGAATCATGGAACACTACACCAAAACAAATGAGGTAATATATGGTGATTAACATAACAATAAAAAATTTAAAAAAAACTAGTCTCAACATTTAGGACCACTTACTTTGTGTGGGTGGATGTATGTGTGGTGTGTACAGAGTTAGGATTATAATTTTGTGCTTGTCATCTAACACTATATTCTGAGCACTTTCTCATACCAATTAAGTGTTCTTATAAAAGGATTTTTATCATTTGTAAAGTAATCCATCAAATGGAACTTATTCCACATACATAGATTGTTGTACAAGCTTTTGATTATATTCATAGGAACAAATTCTAGACATGGAATTATTAATGGTATAAAGTATTTTAAGCTGTTTGCTACATACTGCCAAATTGTTATCCAAAAAGTTTTAACAATTATGCCATGGATCTAAAAGCTGCCTTGTTTTTCTGTACTCTTCTTGCTAGTATTGAGGATTTTTTTTATATTTGCATAATTCACAAGCAAAAGTTGAATTCTGTTTTTATTGTCATCTGTCTGACCACTAACGAAGGTTTTCCATATCAGCTCACAATCTGTTTTTTCTTAATTGAGGTAAAATTTACATACAATGAAACGTACAGATCTTAAACTTACAATTCAGTGAGTTGTTAAATATGTACACCCATATAACCACCATTCCAAACAAGATATAGAACATTTCTGTCACCCTGGAAAGTTCCTTTGTGACCCCCCTCTAGTCAATCCCCAGCCCTTTCAGTTTTCCTACTGAAATGGAAATCTAATTTTAAATGCAACAGGTAAATAGGAGAAAATAGTATATTACCTACCATTTATCCCCACTCAGGAGTAAATAGACCTTTGAGATATGAATTAGTCCACATGTGTAACCTTCCAAGCAGCCACTTAGGGTAATAGAACCTATAGGCATAGTCACGTCGCCCTTGGTTAATGGAGCCTGGTGTAGCAGATCCCCTTGTCCAGTGTCATCTAACCTGTTATGTCATTGGTTCACGAAGCTTGGATAAGTCCCTTCTTTCTGAGCCTCAGCTTCTTCAAGTAAAAAAGAAGAGTCTAGGGCCACCTGCATGGCTCAGTCCGGTTGAACATCCGACTCTTGATTTCAGTTCATGTCATGATCTCAGGGTCATGGGATCTAGCCCTGTGTGGGGCTCCATGCTCAGCGGCGAGTCTGCTGGAGATTCTCTCCCTCTCCCTCTGCTCCTCCCCCTGCTCATACTCTATATATAAAATAAATAAATAAATCTTAAAAAAAGAAGAAGAAGAGTCTAGAATAGACAATATATAAGTTCTCTTCCAGCTCTAGGCTTCTACAAGTCTGTGGTCAGAAGGGAGTTTTTCCTTTCAGATCCGAAGATAGTCTCTTGCATTAAATGGAGTTTAATGTACTTAATCATAGCTTTCCTTCTGTCTACTTTTTGTTGAAGGTTGCAATTGTGGCTCAGGACTTGGCAGCATTCCATACTGCCTCATCAGAAATGGGGCACCAGCAGCACAGCCATCACTTAGTAACCACAGAAACCAGGCCTCTGACCTTAGTGGCCACATCCAACGGCACCCAGATTGCAGTTCAGGTGAGTACAGTGACAGCTGGGTTCCTTCACAGCTCTCGGCCTTGTGTGCTGTCCTCTACTCATAACCTTCACTTGAGGCAAGGCACAGAATAATCTATGGTACTTCGCTCCTTGAAGAAAACTGCTGTTTGCGGTGGACTCAAAGAAACTGGCACTTTGCTCTGTATTATCTTTGCATGTTTTAGGGGAATTTATTTATTTATTTATTATTTATTTATTTATTTATTTAAGATTTTATTTATTCATTTGACAGAGACACAGAGGAGGAACACAAGCAGGGGGAGTGGGAGAGGGACAAGCAGGCCTCCCGCAGAGCAGAGATCCCGATGTGGGGCTGGATCCCAGGACTCTGGGATCATGAACTGAGCCGAAGGCAGAGGCTAAAGGACTGAGCCACCCAGGTGCCCCTAGGGGAATTGATAGCAAGAAAAAGAAAAGCTTCTGGTAAAACATCCCAGCATGCCCCCAGCCAGCCATCTTTACTTTCAAAATAAGTCTCATTAGGTAGGATTCTAGAAAGCACTTAAGAGCTACTCCTTGCAAATGAACCTAGTGTAAACAGAGACCCCAAGTTAGTCCCTTGAGAATCCCTGCACAGCTGTGTTTTATGTTGGGGGAACATCAGAAGACAGAAAAGACTGTTCTCAGGGAAGTCACTGGATTAAAGCAGAGAGTCTAGAATGCTAGGTGCAGATTACCTTTCCTTGGGAAGCGTTGTTTTTCATGTATTTACTTGGAAGAAGGAACACATTCAGGAAAATGCCAACCATTTGTTTTAATTTAGTTTATGGGCATAGAAGCTAATGGCTCAGGATGCTCTGTCAGTGCCTCCATTAGAAAAGATGAGCATCTTTTGTCTGTTGCACGAGTGAAGGTTTATCAAAATCCTAAAGAAAGAAACTACATTATACTCCTGCAAGGATTTTTTTCTGCTCTTAATGATTGGATCAGCAGTAGTATCTTAAGTCCAGCTGTCAGAATTAGAGAGAAATTTTACTTTTGGGGGGCACCTGGGTGGCTCAGTCAGTTAAGCCTCTGCCTTCAGCTTAAGCCATGATTCCAGCGTCCTGGGATCGAGCCCCATGTCCGGCTCTCTGCTCAGCGGGAAGCCTGCTTCTCCCTCTCCCTCTGCCTGCAGCTCCCCCTGCTTGTGCTCTCTCTCTCTCTGTGAAATAAATAAATAAAACTCCTTAAAAAAATTTTACTTCTGGCATATTCTGTTTCTTTGATATTCTCTTTGGTATGCCTTTGTGTTTTTTCCTGTTTCAGCTTGG